TGTGTGTGTGTGTGTGTGTGTGTGTGTGTGTGTTGGATAAAGGAAAACATGATTGGAAATTAAAACAATTATTGATATATTTTTAATGACAATCAAACTGTACACCTGGACATACATTTACGGAAGAGGATTAGGGCCACCATGAAAATATTATTTGAATTCTGACTTTAATCTCAGAATTCTGACTTTAAACTCAGAATTCTGACTTTTTTCTCAGAATTCTGACTTTAATCTCAGAATTCTGACTTTAATCTCAGAATTCTGACTTTTTTCTCAGAATTCTGACTTTAATCTCAGAATTCTTACTTTTTTTTCCTAAACTCAGAATTCTGAGATTAAAGTCAGAATTCTGAGAAAAAAGTCAGAATTCTGAAATTAAAGTCAGAATTCTGAGATTAAAGTCAGAATTCAAATAATATTTTCATGGTGGCCCTAATCCTCTTCCGTATACATTGTCAGTGATCTACTGCGAGCATGCCTTTCTAGCTTTGGTGGCAGTAATGGTGTTCTTGGCCATCACTGTACTTTTGAATTGTTCATATTTTCTTGCATTGAAATATGTGGCCCTATTGCAGTACCTACTCATGTGATTGGCTGAGCGTTGCACATGGCACGTTTTTATGTGGACATGCTCAGGAAACGATCATGGTTTCAGTAAGAAAACATGGCTCAACACAGATTGCTAATAGTCAGCCTCATGATCTCATATCGCATGTGTTAGGTTTTGTTAAGATGAAACTTATGTTCTAAATGCAATACAGTACACTATTTTGTTTGTTGGTTAAATTAAAAAAAAATATTGTTTTTCTTAATGTTTGACAATCTGCACAATGAATTGATTCTCAAAGAATTGTTCTAAAATGACGTTTCAGCAAAATTAAAATCAAATCAAATCAAAACTGAATCAAATCAAAATTGGGCACTCGTAAATCGAACTACATTAAATTATGAGTTCGGGGCTGATTCCGAGCACAAACTAGGACCCTTGTTAAACTTAAGCATTATGTTGGCAAAGGGAGGTTGCATGAAGTACTATATCCACATGTGCCAATATTGTGGCATATGTGGTTTTTCTTTTTTCTTGAATGTCGCTTAAGCACTGGATTGTTCTAAATTTTTCAGTGAGAAAATAGGCTAATGCATCAGAAAAATGTTTTGTAACCTTTTTCTACTCATCGTTATGGAAGGTGCCAATAGTTCTTGGAGGGCACTGTACAGTATATTCATTTAAAACATTTCACTTCCCTTACCGAAAACTGTTAATTTCATTTTGATATTATAAAACTGAAGTCCACTAAAAAAGACCATGCTTGTCAGTAACCTTTTTATGTCCCAAAGCCTTAATCCAACACAGGGAAAGGTGTTATGTTATTTAAAATTTTTTAAATAAAATCACTACACTCCAAATTTACAATATATACACTACCAGTCAAAGGTTTTTGCACACACTGAGATTTGCTATATTTGCATGTTACTCATTTAATATTTACTAAAAATACACCCAGTAATCTTTGCTAACAAATAAATTTACAGTATGTTTGTCAGTTCATGACCTTTATTAGCAGGAAAATTTCACACATTTGATTCATCAAAGTAACCTCCTCTAGAAGTTACAACAGCAGAGAAAATGAGGCATTTTTTTCTACAAAAACATTACATACTGCTGTGTTTCATTGGATGAAAAGTTAACTGCCATTTAAAATTAAAGGACAGCCTAGAATTTGACAATGCCATCACCACGAAACCAGTTAATAGGATGGCAGACATGCACCATTACATACTCTTTCCATGTTTTGAAAGAAACTTCTTTTATTTGACTTATTTTCATTTATAGTTGTTCACTCAACTTTCCAATGCTTAACAAAAATTAAAAATCTGCAGTTTATGAAATAAATGGAAAAGTGGTGTGCAAAAACTTTTGACTGGTAGTCAGTATTCATATATTCACATACCCCCATTCAGAGTCTCTTCATCTTCATTCCACCATGATCGAGACGGCCCAATAGTATGTGCAGGGTTTTGGAGAACCTTCCCTAAACTGTCCAACTCAATGGAACGACTTGTGCCACCCAAATCCACAGAGTCATCAGAGATGGACTGAAAAGAATGAAGCATAAATTTGTTATGCCTAACTAGTGAATACATGCATCCCTGTAAGTGACAAAACAAAACAGCACTCCACTTTGACATTGTAACAGTGAAAACTAAAAATGTTTAGTAAAACAAAGTAAAATCACTTCCATATTCTATGAAATGTGTAACATATATATCAAAATCTTATTACCATAGACCATTTATAAATGTAAGGTGCATGTTGTTTTAAACAATTAAAATGTGTAAAATTAAAGCCACCAAGAATTCCATTTTAGATGAAAACAGCAAGAACTTATGGATAAAAATTAATCTGACTTAAAGTTTAAACATAAGCATAAATTATTTAAAAATATTTCTAATCTACGGATGCCAATGGAGTTTGGTAAACGGGAATTAATTCAAATACACAAGTGGAATAAGAATGGGAGGAGAAATGCGATAAAACAGAATTGCCGCTTTGCAGTAAAAAATAAAAATAAAAAATCACATACAAAGCCTAGCAAAATACTCACCTCTTTTAAATACAACTCAAACTGTTCGTCCAGCTCTTCCTTGGAGAGACGGTGGGACATGATTCTTAAACCTCAAGTACACCTTCAAACAGAGTAGAACATAAAAACAGTCACACTATTGTACAGGTAAGGCTGCAATGTTTGTAGATAATTTTGTGAGTTTTTAGCACTGCAGTTTGTTTTACTAATGCTATGTATCAAATTGACCAGTTATATATTTTTTAGGCAAGGTATGTCATGCAACAGTTATAGAAAAATCAAGTGATGATGTCGGTTTTCTTTTTCTTTTATACTCTTACCATGTACGTTTTGATCGTATCACAATGTTTTTTTAACAGAACACTTTAGCTAGTTATCTAAAAGCGTACTTCTGCCCACCGTGTATCCTTACCATAACTATCGAAATCAGGGAAATTATTTTATAAGACAACGTTGTTACATTAGGAATCCAATCTGTTCAATATTCATACGCGTAAAATTATCCCAAAATACAGCGATGCATATTATACAAACATACCTCCTTCCCGCCATAGCAACCGGGCTTGTCTCTCCAAGTATTGCAGTAATTCTCTTTTTCTGCGATTTCGTTTATATAAATAGGCCTGATTAAAAGTTGCATACTGACATCTGCTGCACAGGAGTGATAATTACACCCCCGACTGAAATCCTGCTACAGTTTCGAAAGCCATTTAAAAATCTGCATTTATCAACATTTGTGAGCTACATATTTTATATTCTTGAGAATGCAGTGTCTGATACTTTCCTGGAGCTTGTCCTTGACACTGTGACACACTTTAGCACAAAAATCCCAGTTAGTATCAATATCCACAAATGCTTGTGAGATGAATTCCATCAGTTCATCCACTGTGTGGGGCTTCCTCTCAAAAACCTTCTCCTTTGCTATGCCCCCCCCCCCAAAAAAAAGTCCATGGATGTCAGGTGGGGTGAACGTGGTGGCCAGTCAATGCTGCTACATCGCCTGATCCAAGAATGTAGAAAGGTGTTCTCAAGATAACTAAAATGTGACACACTGTCAAGGACAGGCTCCAGGAATATATCAATGTGGACAGAGGACATTTTTAATGCATAAGAGACTAAGCATGACCCAGTGTTGGGAAAGTTCATTTTCTACATGAACTAGTTCAAAGTTCAGTTCACACATTTTAAAATGAACTAGTTCAGTTCATAGTTCATAATTCAAATTTTTTTAACTAAGTTCGCAGGTTCCAAAATGAACTAGTTCATAGTTCTTTTATTTTTTCCAGTATGTTGCTGCAAGCTGTTACCCTAAGAATACTGGCATTTTCCAGTTGTTGCCCCCCATTCAGTCCACACTTGTATCCAGCTGCAGCTTTCACCCTACAGTATATTCTCAGAAACATGAGGAAGAACGTGCTGCTTGAATGGTTTTTTTAATGAGGAATTAAGAAACAATCTGAGGTAGGAACCAGGCTGAGGTAGGAAACAAGGATGTACCTCAAAGCGCAAAACATTTAAACATTGATTTTCTTCTCAGTAAGTCACTTTTCAATTTTTTGTGAATGTATTTTTTTCTGAGTTGTTTGCCCAAAGAAAAAGAACAGATCTAGAACTTGGGTAATAAAAGTGAAATATTTAGTCCAAATGAATGAGAAAAAACTAAACAAAAAAAACCCTCAATAACTTAAAAAGAGTCAAACAGAGTTCAAGGCCATGAACATAAATAAGTCAAATAATAATAATAATCATCAATGGGGAAAAAAAAAAAGGTTTTTGGTTCCCGTCCCATCCCATTCGCGTTGGAGGGTTTCCGTTCCCATCCAATTTAACCGCCAAATTTTCAAAACCCATTCCCATCCCGTTCAGTCCCGTGGGATGTCATTCCCGTACCGTCCCATTCCCGTCAAATTTCAAAAACTCTTCTACCGCTCCCGTGTTTTTCATATATTTCCGTTAGCGCTTGTTTTCCGCGACCAGAGTGGCAGATATTTTTGACTAGGGTCCTGGGAAAGTTGCATCAGCATCATATATACTGGTGCATGCCATGGCAGAATTTCAGAATAGAAAAATACGCAGGACTCGGTTCACGTTCACCCAGAATATGAACGAGTTCATGAACGATTGTTCAATTAACTCGTTCAGGCACAACACTGGCATGACCCAATCAGTACTGTAAAATAAAAACTGAATACCTACTTTTAAAAATAATGTAAAATAAAAACATGACTTTGGAAAATAATTGTATATTTACTTTTGGTCCACTCTGTAGAGTAAGCATACCTATTAAGCTCACGTACCCTTTAAGCTCACATACCGTTTAAGCATACTACCATCTTTGAGCTCAAATTACAGTGGTACCTCAGAACTCGAATTTAATCCGTTCAGAACTCTGGATAGAATCCTAAAAAGTTCGAGTTGTGATCGTATTTTCCCCATAAGAAATAATGGAAAACCAATTGTTTCCAGCCCCCAAAAAATTACACCTAAATATGTTTTTTTTTTTAGCATTTTAACACAAAATGAAACGGGTAAAACAAGAAGAGAATATACTGTACTAAACACATCTAAGCACATTTATCAAAATAGCAATTTGTCAAGTAAGAAAATAAATGCATCCAAACAATGTGTAAAGTTAAAAAAAACAATGTGTCCTGCCCCGATTGTCCGCTCCTTCTGCATGCCACGCCCTCCCGTGTGGAATCCCCGAGTGATCAGCTGTTTCTGGCTGTTGTCATTAGTCCTCTGTATTTAGTCCGCATTTCAGTTTGTTTCCCCAGTTTGGTCATTGTATTGTCCGTCTGCGTTTTGCCTGCCTTACCTGTAATTAAACCCCGTATTCCCTGATACCCTGACGTCTGCGCCTTTGTCTCCGTCTCAGCAGGACAATATTATTATAATTAAATGTATTAATGGTTTATTATTAATATTAAAATAATTAATAAGAAATCTTTATTTTTAAATGTATTTTATTATATAATAATAATTACTGTTACTGTCTATCATTGTCTAAATGTATTTTTACTGTCTAAATATATGTATTCAGCTATAGTGTAAACATGACTATCACAGCCAATGCCAGGCTGAGACTGAAGCTTTACCCTTTGTTTCAGCTGAGAGATGTGCAGCGTGACTCATTTCCCCGCGCGTACAAATTATCTTAGGTTGGCGTTCACGGTTTGACTTCTGAGATTCAGATCGAGTTTTAGGTCATGTTTTTTTTTTTTTCGAACTGGCTGGTTCGACTTTTAAGAAATTAGAGTTCTAATGAGTTCGAGAACTGAGGTACCACTGAACTTAAAGAAAAAACAAGACATCCTTCTGCTTGATGTCTGAACCAATGAATGTGTTTGCTACTAAACACTTCTAGTAATTTTCAGTGAATCATATAATTGCATACTCTGATATAAGCATGCATGTATTCACACTTCCTGGTGGCCAGAAGAGGACTTTCATCAACTTACATTTTTAATAGATTTAAACCTTTATTTTGCGTAACTATCACTAGTCATTGCAAAATTAAGAGATTAATGTTTATAACCATGCATAGTATAACTTGGAACTTGGATGTGTGAAATAGTTACAGATAAATCAAAAGACTGTTTTAGAGAGATAGCACAGGCATCACAGTGTGTAGTTAGCATTCTAGTACATTTGAGACTTTATTGTTGTCATTGTATCAGAAATACAACAAAACTTGTTTGGTAGCTCACGGCTCAGCAGCAAAGAGGTATACCTTAATATACCACATTAATATAGAATGCAGTCTCGTATACATGGTATAAATATGAGTAAAACCTAAGATAACTATTAATAAAATACAATATATATATATATATAAACAATAGGGGTGTGCAAAGCAGCCGGTATTTGTATCTGTATTTGTATTTGTTGAGGGGGGAAAAGTATTTGTATTTGTATTCGTATTCGAGTAAAATTCAAAATAGGCGTAAAAATCCAGTTTTTTTGCGTTGCACTTCTAATTTACGCTATAGTGTAAGTATTCTTTAATTATATCTATTATAATAATTATGGATATGCAGAAGACAGA